TTATAAGTGTTACATTTGGATTTGCTTGGTATGGTTTTTTTAAAAATATCATAAGAAAACTTCAAACTAAAGGATCTTCTCATTGGGTGGTAGATATTAAATTATCGATTACAGAGAATATCTAAATTTAATGTACTACCTATGACTGTATATTGTGAAATTAAGGTAATTAATTTAATTGCCTACTGAATAGATAAATGCATCTAAAATAATTATACTTTGCTATGTTTTTATTAAGTGTAATTATTTAATTAAATTAAGTTTAGTAAAAATGAAATCTACTAATATTACGTGTTAATGTTAGGTTAACTTGATAATATTATTTTTTGATCAATCATTTGTAATGAGGAAAAAACCAAATGAATTGTATTCATATAAGATTGACAAGTTAGCTTTAGTATAGTAAATATTGATCTCATGTTTTTTTTTTTAATGAATARTGTATTTATTTTACTATGTTAAATAAAATATGTCTAGTTGCAAAATATATACGTAATATGTTTTAAAACTTTGTTAAGCAAAATGTTTAGAATTCACATCAGTATCTTCACTCAACTAGGTATTTTGTATKTAAATAATCAACATACCAATGCATAGAATTTTTAATAACTACATCCAATATTACATCACGTGATTTCTATGTATGTTACTGATGTTACTGTAGAGGAGAAATAGATAGTGAAACAAGTTAAGTCAATAATTATTTCAATTAAATGTAATTCTGTACAACACAATAAAGCATCGCGTTTAAATAATATATTATTCTGATATTCATATTATGTAATAGAAATCATAATGCTATTATTGAGACAATAGTGTCTTAATGGTGTTGAGAGTGGATGGATTGGAGGAAGTATCTCTCTATGACTTTTTTTTTTCATTTAACATCCCGAAAAAATATATTTGTGTTACTACAGAAAAACATGCTGTAGTGTTTTGCATACAAATGTTTTGTCAAACAGTAGGTACCTAACCAGAATATTACAACCAAAGTTGATTTTGAACATAATAACAAAAATGGGATACTATAAATAATATAAAATCTAAATAAATTATACATTTACATTTATAATTTATGGGTTCTATTATTATTTTAATATCTATAACCTCATTCCCGACTAACCGAATTTTCAACAAATTCAAATTCATTAATAGTTTTTGTTAAAATTATTGATATAAATTAAATTTATTAGAACTAAATCACTCAAGTCGTCTCCTAAAATAACAGCCCAGACATTAATTTTTTGGTGCATTGAGTATGTTCGTGTCTCAAAACATGGGGATTAAAATCAAAACAATAACGACAGTTTTGATAATTCACTTTTCCATAAATGGAAAATTGTACTTATATTAATTGTATGATTTGTATTTTTGGTTATTTAAAATATGACCAACTTATTACTCAGCAATTCCTAAATCATCTGGTATGGTTTTAAATCACTGCGTTGGATCATTGGAAACTTATATGCTTAGAGGCTAAAAATGTGTAGTGATCCCTCACTAACGCCTATTATTTGAGTTCAGCGACGTTGGATTGACAATCAGGTTTTTCAAAGGAGACGGTGATAGAGTTACAAGTTACACAACGTTGAAAGTATTAAGTATTTTTATTAAAGTAAAATATAAAATTATATAAATTTGAGGACAGAACGTAAAGTATCTGCCCGAGAAATTAGTAATAAAAATTGGAATGAACTTATGTATAGCGGCGATGTTGAGGACAAGCCCAACGACTATACTAAGTTCTACATTGAGTGAGACACAAACTAATTCTAATTCTGCAATGGACCTAATCCTGTATTTATGCAGAATTTTTACACGGTAGAGATTGTAGGGAGTGGATCAAAGGAACCGCAAAGTGGTTGTTATTGCGRGTGTTTGGATTCCCAGTAATTCGGCGAGCCAACGCCCRTACATTCGGCAATATTCTAATCTAATTTATTGCTCWGTTTTCGTACTTATTTGTAATCGATACGCGGTTGAATCTGGTATCGATAAAACTGTCATTCTCGAGGTCCAGGAAGACAGTAGTATAATTGTAGTGTGAATTGTAATTAATAATTATAATATGTTAATGTAATTAAAAAAATAGTAGAGCGACTCCGTCGGTTTACTACAATGTAATTATTTTCATATTTTTGTCTTGAAATATTTCAGCAACAATTAGTTTTATATTTTTTGGCTCGGACACTACCATATATAGTTCCGTGAAACTTGTCAACAATATGTTTAACGTATGATTTTTTTAATATTTTAACAAATCAATAAATTTATTTTAATATAACCGTGATTATCTAAGCTTTTAACACATTTTTAGTGTAGTTTTGCTAATTCAATGTGTATTATTTAATATTGACTTAGATGCAAAACATTCAACATCCAAAAAGTTTTGTCAAATTTATTTAATTATTGATCAACCCATACAAAAAAATTAACCAGCACTCTTTAATCTTTTAATGATATTATTGATTAAAAAAATCGACTCATTCCATGAATTTCCTATTGAACTAAAATTCTAAATACTAACGAAAAGCATAATTTAATTAAAACTTTAAACATATTTGCAGTACAATTGGTTATTTCAGATGATTAAAATAAGTCAGGTAACAATAATATTTTAATAATAATATAAAGTAAACCATTTGCAAGATATTTTACACAAGAAAATTTTTAACAATCAATAACAATACAGGTATATATATTTATAATAATACTGATCTCTGTCTACTAATTGAGTCCCGTTGTCCCCATATCTGAAGGGGAAAAAAATATATTTATTGAGTAATGAGTTCTGAGTATCGGTGGAGTACGATTGCGCGCGGTGCCGGAATAACAAARAACATGCTTTTGACTATTYAATAGCGTACGATTGCGCGTGRAATTGGATGCGACGTTGCCAATTTATTATTAAAATTTAAAATAATAATTATTATTAAAAAAATTATAAAAAAATTTGTTATTTGTCGTATATGTTTGTTGTATTTATTTCTAAAAACATTATAAACGTGGGATCACGTGTCAATAAATCAGTCAAAAATAGCTCAAAAAGTTACAAATAGTACAAATAGTTACAAAAATTAACAGATACTTTATATTTACACTTAGTCTACCTAAAAAGGTTGGATATTTACCATGCACCTATAATCTGTATATTTGGCAACGTTGCTTAGAAGCAAAAATAATTTAGCATGCGCAATCGTACACCTAAAAAGGTACCGTTGATAAGGACCGCGCGCAATCGTATTGCAGCCCAGCAGCCCTGAGTATAAAGTAAACATTTACTAATTGAGTCCTGTGTTTATTTTGAGTTAAATATAAAATCAACAATAATATAGAGATGAGATTAGATAATAATATCATATATGAGGCGATAATTTTAAATTCGGAAGTCGTGAATAATAATATATTAGTAAGAACTAAGTTATCAATAAAAAATTGACAGCTTAACAAGAAGAAACAACGATAATTATTGTACCATGCAAGAAACAAATTCGGTGGGTAACGTGCAAAATAGCTAGAATCCGTTGGTCCATTTTGAGTGTAATGGACCCGACATCAATCTAAAAATAAGAATACAAAACGGAAAAACTTTGATTACAAACCTTGAATCTAAAATATTCGAAATTATGGAACTTCCGTTAGCACGAGAGCATATTGTACATATGGAAAAAAGTAAACATAACGATTTGCTTACCAATACGAAGCGAAACATTTAAATTGAAATCACARCTATATAGACGAGGAATTTAAATTTGTTATAACGTAAACGGAATGTTCTAAGTGTGATGAATGAGGGAGGGGGAGAGTAGGTAGATTGAAACCACGGAATTGTTCATGAAACATTGAAACGTCGACCGCGATCGTATTCAAGATCAAGGTGTAGGTAATGAGTATAATTATATATATTATGGTATCCGGACATTTTCCCCCCGGCTGTTTTTGGCGTAGTAGGACATTTCCCCCCGATAAATTTTTGGATGCGGACATTTTCCCCCCGTATTTTTTTCTATTATTTACCTTCGAATATAAAATTATTATCTTTAACACATATTTTTTAGCTTTTGTTTTAGTTTTTTATTTTTAAGTCGGATTTTTAGTTACTAATTATATATTGTTTATACAATCTTTTTTTATTTTTATGTCGGATTTTTTGGCCAGTTGTATTGTACTATATTATATYATTTAGACAATCTATTTAAAATTATATTTTTACTTAACTTSTTTTAAATATTATTCATTATTTTTTTATTGAAATTAAGATTAGAGACTTTTTAGTTAACGTACAGTTTTTACAAAAATAAAAAAAAAATATATGAACAAAAGCTAAAAAATATGTGTTAAAGATAATAATTTTATATTCGAAGGTAAATAATAGAAAAAAATACGGGGGGAAAATGTCCGCATCCAAAAATTTTTCGGGGGAAAATGTCCTACTACGCCGAAAACAGCCGGGGGGAAAATGTCCGGGGGGAAAATGTCCGCCATTCATATATTATGCGGTATTTTGAATTTGAAGTCTTGAAATTTAAAAATTTTCATTATTTCATTTGTTTTTGGTTTATTTAAAATAATTTTTTATCATACAAATATCCAAATAATCACCTATACCCACTTCCGAAAAAAAAATTACAAAACACGGCAATGACSTAGATATTTGTTTTTATAATAAAACCGCACAGTATTCGCAAATCGCAATTACACATTTAAATGTGATGCGTCACTATRGGTCGTTGAAATCATTATTTTGCCACCCGATTAAGGCTCTTATCAATAATAATTTTAAGTGTCATATAAATATTTAATACACGGCTGATCGCTGATGAGGTTATAAATACACACTGTGCCGTGAATATTTTGTACCAATAACACAATAACGATGTCCTGCAACACAGTGTGTTATCCTAAATGGTCAATTAACTAGTGTGCTAATCAGTGTACATTTTATAAAGATAATTGTTTACAATATTACATAATAGTTCAAAACGAGTGTCTGCCTCGAATCGTATCAATTGTTAATTTACGAGGAGGATAAAAGTTTTACTAGATTAACAGTTCCATAAATTACTTCTATTCGGTATATAATTTCAAAAATTGGTAGACGAGTACCTAGTTATTTAATGGTACTTAGTTATATAAATTGTAATTTTATAAATCATATTCATAGTCTATAATGTCATAGGTAATTAATGCGAGTGATGATGGATGATCCCACTATTATGTTAAGCACTATACACCTTGTTCCAATACAAAATTCAGACAACAGCAAAAAAATCACTAAAGTTCAAAACTTAAGCGGTGACAGATGGAATTTAGTGAAACTCTTATTTTTATACATACTGCAAGGTGTACCTTTGGGATTCAGTGATGCATTTCCGATTTTACTAAAATCTAAACAGTTTTCATACTATGACCAGGTAAAGTATATAAAACGTCAAATATTCAACGTAGGAGTTCTGTAAATTAATAATATTACAATTTGTATGAATTATTGTTTAAAGTTTAATATTACTTTGTTATTAGGCAATATTTAGTGTGAGCGCGTGGCCGTTTACTTTCAAAATTTTATGGGCTCCGTTAGTAGACTCTATTTATTGTCCATCAGTGGGAAGACGAAAAATGTGGCTCGTTCCTGTACACATCCTTCTTGGTAACTTATAGTAAACTAAACAGCAAATACATACAAATTAAATACATACCTACTACCAAGTATGTTTTGAAATATTGAACAAATTTATCCATTTTCGACATTTTTATTTTTTGATAATTACATGATTATCGCTTGTTGACAAAAATAATAATATTTACAGAACATCATACTACAAATTATATGGTATATACTAGTATGGTCTATCCCTAATGACTAATACTATTACTGACCATAATATATATTATATTTACTTACTAATTAAATATATATTATAATTTAAGTATACCTACCTATTGGATTCGATAAGTATATTAGAAGTGACTAGGGAACACTGTATACTTTCTATATTTTTAAGGGATTAGGTCCTGGATGTAAAAAATAGACCTATTTTAATTTAATTGCAGCAAACTTAATATTCTAAACATAGAACATAATTTCTGATAACATGTTTGAATTCGCCATAAAACTCATTTGAAAACATGCAAATATCTTACTTTTTTGAAACTGAACTCTTAAACCGTTAAAAAAAACTTTTGTATATCAAATATTAAGAATTTTCAAGCGCAGTTAACATTTTTAATATCAATGCGAGCCTCACAGATTTTTATCCCATATACCACTAAAAAACTATCTATTTTCTAATTTTCGCCTATGCACTAATGATCACTATATAATTATAGGAATAAGTCGTAGACAGTAGACACACATTTACATGGTAGACACATAGAAATTGTGAACTCAAAAACATTTAGTTAAAATCCATTAGTAATATTTATTAATTATTATGCCTAATAAAATCATTAATTTTACTTTTTAGGCACTTGTCTACTGGTGTGCAGTTTTTATATCAATGACTGGTTGTCGAATACCGGAGATCCAAACTTGATTCCGCTTACTATCGTTTGGTTAATCATAAATATGCTAGCTGCTACTCAAGATATTGTAGTTGACGGATGGGCATGCTCTATGCTACAAAAGTTTGATATATAATATTGATTATTATAGTCTATAGAGTATATTTATAACAGTACAACAATTTTATCAAGTTAAAATTCTTAGCAATCTTAAGCTTCAATAACATAAAAAACAATAACATAAAACTGAGAATACCTACTGACATTATAAACAACATATTAATATCTTTAGGCATAACATACACTACTCTTCAATGTGTAATGCTACCGGTCAATCAGTTGGATCGTTCTTAGGTTATGCAGTTCTATTGTTACTCGGATCTGAAACGTTTTGCAACAAATGGCTGCGCTTTTTTCATAAATCCGGTAGTATTATCACGTTAAAAGGTAAACCTACTAGCTACTACTATAGATATATAATATAGTAAACGTGGTATATAATGTTGCATGTTATTTGTGTATYGAGGTGGTGTGTGTGTGTGTTTTTGTGCACAAATGTACAATAACACGTATATCATAGTATATTATARTAATAATAATATGGGGACCCAATATATTATATATAGCATTTWAAAAAAATGAAATAGTTGGATTTTTCAAACAGGATATCTATATTTTTGGGGAATCGTGTACATTGTAGCTGCGGCATGCGTGTCTAAATTCAAAAGCGAAACCCAACCATCAGCCGAACAAAAAGGTCTGGGCGTATTAAACACGTATAAGCTACTCTGGGACATAATAAAGTTGCGAAACGTTAAGATACTAGGCATGATATTTTTAACTGCCAAAGTAAGATTATGATATAAAATATCTATTAACATATTACTTAATATCTATTTACAATAATAATATTGTGTATATAGTACCATCTATCTAAATGTTTTTATTTCAATAAATCGAATTGAAATAGATTTGTAGTYGATAATATTTATTATTTTCATCGTAATTTTCGTTTTTTTTTTAAGTATTGTTTTGTGAAAAATGTCGATTCTTTGATAATTTGATATATTAAACTATTTTTTTWAAATAAATAATAACCAATAACTGTCATTAATTTATAATTAATACATTTACTACAAATGATTAGATCACATATTTATGTGTGTTATTTAGAATATTAGATTTTCGGCCTAATATTTCCACGTACCTTCGTATTATATAGGTATTTAATTACATATATAAATGGATTAATTTGTTTATCGGTTGGTGATTTTGACATATAATAACTTTTATGAAAAGAAATTGGCTCCTACCAAAATGTTATAATTTAGAAACACTACTTCAAATTCTATATTTTTTGTTCGTATATACTTAAGCTTAAGTTTATTAACTATCTTTATACAATTTTACGTAATTTCATTATTTTCATAACTATAATGAAGTATGGACATTCATTTTTAAATATATCCAAACAATCATTAAGTGTATAGACATATTAATTATTATAATACATAATTTACATAGTTATTTCCTGAATTGTTGTTCTATAGGTACTCTATATAGACTACTTACGACTTATGTTATTCATAGTTAGGATTCGCCACTGTCGACACAGTGACTAATATGGAATTCATGGAAGCTGGAGTATCTGAAAACAATATTGTAATAATTGGCATAATGGTGTTTTTAGTAAAATTGATAGTTCCTGTAGCTACAACTAAAATAACAAATTCAATAAAATCGATGGATGTTTTCATGAAGTGTATACCATTCAGGTATTTTAAATAAATATTTATAAAATATTCTCTTTTATATTTACGATGATAAATGATAATGTACGTGTTTCAACCTTTTAAAAACGTTGTTGTACAGAATCATTCTTTATATTAAAACATCGAATATTCGAATCAGAATTTAATTACAATTGGGTAACTACTATTTACATCAAATCGAATCAAAATAAAGTTGAATTCAAAAAATTCTATAATATTTCAGATTGCTGCATGGTTTGGTATTCTCGGTGCTGTTATATTACACTCCAACACTTTTGAGAGCCAGCGTTATTGTCCAAACATGTTTTTACACCATGTTGGGATGCACCTTTATAACACACCAAGTAAATCACGTTCATATTTATATATAATTATATCATAGCATTTTTGCGTTTATTGTATCTATGTATTCCACAATATTATTTTTGGTTGAGATTCTACAAATTCATGAATAATTTTATAATATATAGATATCTATAAATAAGAATACCATATATTATATGTTTTTAAGTCAATAGGTTAGTTAGGTAATTATAAATATTTCTTAGTGTTTAATACTATAATATGTATATTTAATTTAATTCTTATAGATTTTTTCATTCACTATGTATGTAATTTACCTGTCGTTTGTATCAAAAGTAAGTGATCCAAAATTTGGTGGAATTTACATGACATTGCTGAGCACGTTTGCAAACGTTAGCTTAGCTATTACAAAGACGGGTTCACTTTGGTTGGTTGATGTTCTTACCTTCAAACAATGTACTGCAAATTCTCAAAACTATTGTGAAGCTTCAACATCGATCAAAGTAATAAATGATAAAATTAATTTAGTATTAAATTTAAAAAAATTGTTGATTATAAACATTATATTCTGTCCCTGTGAAAATACAATTTTTTAATTGATAGTTAATTTGTCATTTATTAATACCTATTATACCTAATAAAAAATTACTGACCTATAATAAGTCAATACTCGTTGGAAGAAACGAATAAATATATCAATTGAATTTATTTTTTTTTTTTGGAAAGATCAAACTGATTTAGATTTATAATATTAAATCCTAAAGGTCTATCATCATATTATGAAATACTAGCTAATCTGGTAATCCATTTATTTAATGCGTACCTCAAAATAGATATTACTATTTTATCACTGATACAACAATGATAAGACAACAATCCGTGTTAAATTTACATTTTATTTAAATGTAATTGCAATGATTATTGTCCATTTTAAAAATAAATCTCAGAGAGCTAAAATTAAGATGAACATTTTAAATAAAGTATGGAATAGTATCAGTTAATCGTAATTGTAAAACATTTGAATATTTTAAACTGTTTTTGTTCACTATTAATTTTTTTTTTTAAACATTATTCTTGTATTTTGAAAATTATATAAATACTTGTTGTAAATAATTTTTAACAATTTAATAACATTATATAATTCAATATCGTTCTAGTCTTGTCGAGCAATGGGTGGCAAATGCAGTACCATAATCGATGGATTCTATGCCGAGATAATTATATCTTCTATTTTGGGTATATTATGGTTATGTATAATAAAAAAACCATTAATTAATTTATACCACAGTGATCGAAAAAATTGGCTTGTTTACAATGAAGACAATTTAGTAAAAGTAAATGTTAATGACACTATTTAAATGTTAAGAAAAATATATTTAAATTAAAGTATGTATGTATATTTGAGACTGTACAATTATATTTTAAGAAAATATTATTTGAATTTTTAAAAACCTTCTATTTGTTGTTTTAATTATTTATTATACCTTGTTAATATTGTAATAATAATTAATTACTAATAATTGTTTTTAATAAATAAATAACGAATTTAATAATTTGTAATACTTCTGAAGATGAACACATTTTATATTCAATGTGTTACATAAATAAAGGATATTATACGAAATATTTCGAAGGCATGACATTGACATTATATTTCAATTTGGATTTTTTTGTACTGCATAAAGGGCTTAATAATGCATATTTTTTTGAAAAATTTGAATTTATAAAAAAAAATCCGTGTGCGCATAACAAAGCATTTTTTTTATTTGAGTTTGAATTTGAATTAATTAAATTTTAAATTCTWAGCGGAGCGAGGAATGTATTTTTTATCAATTTTTACTCACAAAATTTTTCTTAAAAACTAACTTATTGAGAGTGAATTTAAATTTAAATTTATGCATAACGTATGCATGGAAGGAATTTTTCCTTTTAAATTATTGTTATATTAAATCTTTTTTTGCAGTAAAAACCCCAAAATTAAATTCAAGATCATGTGCTTGAAATATTTAAGTGTTACCTCCTTCGTTGAACACTGAATAATACACAGTGAAAATATTATTTTTTTTTTTCTATAGGAATAGGTTGTATAAGATATTTGATTTTATGGTTTGGTTTTTTTTTATATTTAGACCCTATGAATTGTAATACAATTAGTCTCAACACTTTGATAAGGTGGGAATTTAATTAATCATATAATTACATCGAATAAAGATATTATAATTGATCAAATTAATATATAAATATGAAATACCATAAATAATTTCACATCGGTCCTAGATTAGGTTAGAATTTAGATGTTGTATCACCAGATTAATTAAAAATAATATTTATGAAAACATTTTAATTTCTTTATTTTATAACTGTTTTTCAATCCAAGTAATATAAGTGCTGACGTCAATGTATACACCTGGTATTGATGGACTTCCGCATCCAATTCCCCAAGATACAAGACCAATAAGATGTGAAACCGAATCATGCTCACATACTAAAGGTGAACCTCCATCTCCCTGCATAAAACACGTTAGTAAATAATAGTTAAAATATTTTTAAATGAATATAATGTTATACCTATAAGGTTTATGAACGAACAATTTTTAAAAGGTTTAGTATAGGGCATAGGCAATATTAAAGGTGTTTTTGTTCGACTCGTATAAGTGTGTGAGTATTAAATTATCATTAATTTGTGTATACTCCCCGTCAATCAACTGCATCATATAAATTACGCACCAGTATGATCTCATGCAAATATCATTTAGTCATCAGATAAAACTATTCAAAACCGATTTGAATGATCATGAATGTAAAATTGGCACTATATGCTTGACAAGAAATCAGTCGTTCGATAATAGTCGTTCGGTTTTAAAAATGTAAAGATGTTTCAGATGTTTGAATGCATAAATGTGTTTAATTAGCATCGGTCGGAATATGTTTTCAAATTTAKAAAAAATTTTAAGGAAATAGACATTTTAAATTTTCCGAATTTGTTAATTTTAATATTAAATATACTAAAAAAATATTTAAAATATGCTTCGGCTGATGCAATATAAACTTGTTAGTTGTTTACCAATTCAAACATATTTACATATTAAAAATCTAACCACTATAAGTATCTTAGTATTTATCAGTCGCTTAGATTATTTTTATGAAATATTTATGGCGTTTAATCCACTTAAATAAACGTCTTGAAAACCAAGAAGTTCCGTTAGATAGGAAACAGTTTTCAGTTGTCGAATAAGAAAAGAAAATAAATCAAAATAAATGGAGAAAAAATAAGAAAACAAACATAATTGAGTTAATTCCAGAACAAATTTAATCATAATTTATAATTCTCCGATAATTTCTATAGATTCGAACTTCGTTTCCAAGTTACAAAAATTTACTAATTTTTAATACATAATATTTTGGTGAATTCGGAGACTAAATATGACTAAAAATTTAAATCTTTTTTCAATATTATCATATGGGCAGGCCGGACAGGATAGGGTAGTATCTTGTATCTCGAATTTCACGATACAATTATATGAACTATGAAGTATCTTGTACCGCGATACATTTTTAGTCAATGTATCTAGTATCTCATAAAATAATTTATGATGCGATACAAGACACAATTATGATTTTATTATCAAAATAATAATTAATAATCTAGAAAAAAATATTTTTATTTAATATTGTAGGTTATTGGAAATCATTTTTCAACCCAGTACCGATAAATCATAAAATATAATTATATATGTGATGTGACACACGCACATTGAATTGGACTTTACGTCTGTACCTTATTAGATATCCGTAATTTTGTATAAAACTGTACCTAATAGTTACTACGTTATAGTGTACCTATACCTTTCGCGATAAAGTAGGTGTTTTATTTTGTTTTATTACTAATGTATTATTTATACTGAATAAGAGTCAATTTTTATTATTTTATTTGTCTTTCTAATTACTTAATGAAGTGCCCATCCCCATAATTTTTAAAAATACAGTATCGATTATCTATAGTATCGCGATATTCCAAATCCAAGATCTAGTATCTTGTACCGCGATACTCAAAAGTAAAGTATCTTGTAGGTCTATTATCTCGATACTCCTTTTTGAGTATMTTGCCCAACCCTGCATATGAATTATTATCATCTCATACTGAAAACGTCTAAATGTATATTATCTATGTATATTATGGATGGTCTTGAATACTGCAGATCAAAGGCGATCGTTAATTTATCGATTATTTTAATAGTTTATAAAATAAATGATGCACACTTAGTCTAAAATATTGTGATTGATAACTCATACCTGTTACCTTTTTTTGCTAAATATATTATAATATAGTGTAATGGTGTTCGACGTGTTCGTAAATATTCAGGTTCACATGACTATATRGTATATAGTAATAATTATATTATTCTAATGCACCGTTTCCGCTCACCTTGCACGCATCTTCGTTCTCTTCGCCACCCGCGCACAAGAACCCTGGATGCAACTTGAACGTGGCGCCGAGTCTAGTAGTCCTCAGACTCTTGACGCACCGYTGGAAATCCCACAGCGGTACCGGTACCTTCTTGAGTACGCCCGGGTACCGCGGCCGGTCAAAGCTCTCCGCACCCCACCCGGACACCCGGCAACCGGTCCACCGGTGGTGGGGTGGCACGGCATCTGGCGTCGATCTCGGGGGCAAACACACGGGGCCCACGTGGTCGGTTACCGGAACCGGAGCTCCAGACATGGTGATCACCGCGATGTCATTGTGCATGTTGGACGACGAATACTCGGGGTGGATCGCGATGCTGGCCACGGGCCTTTCAACATACGGCCGTGGCTCCATGTCTAGGTAGATGTCCCAGTCACCCAACCGTACTTTCAGTGCACTGAAATTCCTGCAATACACACGATCGAGACGTAACTTTTTTATTATTTTTTCTACCGCCCAGATTGTTTTGTTTTATATTTATACACAACAAAATGTCTCACCCAGGGACGGATCCAAGGGGAGGGACAAGGTGCCGAGCTTTAAGGTTTAAATTTTATAACTAATATTTTATATCAAAAATTATCAAAATGTAGATAGTAGATACTGAAAAGTAGATAGTAGATAATGAAAATTAACATAAGACATCATTAGTTGTAGGTACTAAATAAAATATATTGTATTAAATTACTTCGAGAAACTATTCAAAAAGTGAGCAGTAGATAGTATATGTTTACTGTCTATCAACGCTCCATTTGACACGAATGAATTGCCATTTGTTAAGATTAAAGCTTGCCAGGGAAATTCTCCAAATTTAGCCTAAAATAAATCAAATTAAATACATTTTAAATATTAATGCCTATWTACATAGTATTCAAAAAGCTTAAAACATAGTGTCACCAATATCAACATAATATATCAAATAGGTACGTTTATTGTGAGGTATTTAAATCTACCAACATAATAATAAACAGAAAAAAACAAGAAGGAAGATATAAGTACAAAAATKAATCTACATATCATCAACTATCGTAAAATATTTAAATTAAATATTAGCTGTCAAAACATAAAAGCTATTTCTGTCTAACACATTTAGTTAAATTAATTTGTTCTTTTGTCAAACAATAGGAAAAGTACAAACATTTAATTTTATAGAATGGTAGGTATATTTGTAGTCAATTGAATGATCAGTTAAATATACTATAGTCGATGATTTATTAATTTATGAAACACTAATAAATGAATTATAAATTTGAGTAGTTATATTTTCTTTGTAAATTTTAATTAAACCATAAACTTGTACCTGATCGGGGTTGATTTTGATTCCATCAATGTTCTGCGATTTCACCTTACCACACATTAGTAATGGGTTTTCTAAAGATGGGTCAGAACAACAATACACTTTTCCAGGAGGACATTTGTCTGGTTTCTAAATATTTTCAAAAATTTTATCAAGATCCAAATTAATAAAATATTAAAATTACTTAAACAATAGTAATAAAAGTACTTACTGTGATTATTCTTATGTCTATGGATGCATCATTTTCATCAGATAAACACTCAGATATCATAACACATTTACACTCTTCTATCCATTCTGTTTCGAAAGATGGTTCTAAAATATGCAAATATTTACAAAAAAATATTTTAGCATTATTTTATTACTATATCATCAGTCTGTCATAGTTTATTATAAAATAGCTATTAGGTACCAGAGGTACCTATACTATTTATAATATAAAATATTATTTATGTTTATAAAAGACAAATGTTTAAGATTATATACTTTTACTCTAAGTCTGTAAAATATAAAAATAATATACTTACTATCTTTTTTTATTTGCAATTCTAATCTCTCAAATGTGACTGCGCTAGAAGCATTATTCGGTTTAGATAAATGTATTTTTGAAACAATTAAAAACATTATGAAACATATCGTTTTCAAAAACATATTTTTAGTGACTTCTACTAATATCAATACTTGCTATTATAGTATGAAAAAAATAAAATCATACACTCTAAAAATATGTTTAACTATCTAAGCATATATACGTATTACGTATCGAATAATTRTATAAATAACGGTAATAATAATTGTTACCTACAATTATTATGAAACACCAAATTATTGTACAATAAATAAATACAATTTATAATTTATTAAAGTTCAATATATTATCCAGCATAATATTATTAAGTTGGCCATGATTTCAATTATTCAATAGGTACTTATTTTAATTGGATAAATTACTTTAAACAAAAATTATAAAACACATTGTCACGCAAGAGTAATTTTTATAACAACGGATATTATGACTAAACGACGTTTGTGACAACATCAACTTCCCATCCAATTCCTGAAAATGTTTTTTTAATATATCAGTACAATACAATATTAAATAGGTAGGTACATTAAATATTAATTATATGCTTTTTAACTATTTCCTATCTTTTTTTAATACGTTTGATAATTAATTACGTATGACAATAGTCAATATGTGTATAACAAGTAATAACAAGTATAATAGGTCTATTTTTTCAATTTTATAACACTGACATTAGAAAAACCAATGTCAATATGCGTCAAACATGTCCGGTTTAAGGGATGGCAGAAGGGGTCTGCATAACCCTAGGCCCACAAAAGATATCAAACAATATTGGTCCCCTTGTGGGTATAGTAGGTATCTATGTTTCACATAATATATGGATAATGAATACGTATGTTATCAATAATATCATTATTTTAATTATGATATCGTAATATTTTATTTTTTGAGATGGATGATCATGGTAAGGAAATTATATTTMTGAAAATGGTGCCGAATACGAATTTATGATGAATTAAAACATTATTAATTATTATTTGCTAGTAGCATTAATTTTAGAATATACAATTATACTTTTTTATAGTATATTTTAAAATCAATACAAGTGGCTACTATAGATAATAATATAATATCATAGCTATAAAACGGTTTTTGATTATATAAATATTATAATATAGAAGAATATTATAGTCATTATATTATATTTATCTTATAACTTTACACCTACTATTGTCAATGTTCGGGCATTGAAATAACATTACAATAATGTAAGCTATAACTTGAGACTGGCTGGATGACCGCTTATTAACTAATTTATCAAAATGTAAGTAATAGATAAAATAAGATTTTTACAGGGGAAAAAAATTGGAAGTTTCCCAGAAGGAGGACTCACTCGTGGATTTTAAGATTTACGATGAAAATCTAAAACTTTGTTTTTGTTTATAAATGGTTGCATTGGCTAAATTTTGCAGATTATAGTATTAATACTGTAATAGTAGAAATAACTATGGAAAAATTTGTATTTTTATGTAATATGAATGCTACTATGCTGCTATATTTGATGGCTACTCATCAGGGGCGTCATTTGGACCCCTTACTTTTAGAATGTTACAATTGGCCTGCGCCTTGCTGAAGCCTGAAATAATGCATGAGCCACGAATGTACAATTATTTATATGATTAAAATAAAATTGTAATAACCGGTCTATAATGTATGGAAATAATTGAATGCAGGATAATATACATATACGTATGTATATCTATWTTTATATGGCCTGGTGAAATTTCAAAATGGCCTGCTTGAAACTTCGCACACCCGAAGAAAAACCCGAGATGACGCCCCTGGTAGCCATTAGCAGTTACTCCGGAAAATAAGGTAAAAGCATGCAACAAATCGTTAATGTCCTCAAATAAAGAAATTGTATCTTGAAACAGTTAATTTAAAGTAGAATTTGTGTTTTTAGCTTATATAGGTACCCAAAAACAACCTATCCGATTTTGTGAAAATGTCATAATGTTCTCAGAGGTATCAGAAAAGTTTACGACCTTAGTTTGAACCACGTTCAATTTATATACCAATTATCACCGGTAAATTATTCATTTCGGTCATATTAGTTCACAAGAGGTGCACCGACACCGATTATTTCGTAGACTGAGATTCACTAAAACCATATATACACATATAATATAGTGCTAAATATTTTATATTTTTTCACTGCCGAATTTGGGTTATACTGATAAAGAAGGATGTTAGTTCATCCGAAATTAAAAACTATACCGTATCGATTTTAATAAAAATTATATCAATTGATTCTATGAGACTTGGAGGGTGTTTATAGTGTATTTTTTTCAATCCCTAATATGATGCCYTATAGTCTATAGGTAGGTAAAGGGTAGCTCACACATGCAATATTTTTGAGCTCACGATAATAGAATACTTTTGTATACATGGTTGTCATTGGCTACATATTATACTACTATTATAATTATAAGTAGAAATATTGCAATATAAAAAAATAATTAGGTATACTTTGCACGGGTAACGCCGTACGGTACAGCAACCAAGTATAATACTCAAATACCCATGTCAGAAGTTTAGATTTTTAAAGAACTAGAGTTTTTATTTAATAACACATTAGAATGTAAAATATTACTATAATACCTATAATTATTGAACTACATAATATTATTTACATAATAGGCGTGCGCTGCAGAGTTCCAGATCAGGTGCAGCACATATTTCTATATAACATTTATTTTTCGTATTTAAGACAAATTTTTACGCGGAAAATTCAATTAAATAATTTTAGATTCCGAGCGGAGCGATGAATGTATTGATTTTACCATGATGTGTTTTTTTTTTGTGTCTGTCATCACGTTTTGGGGCAGTAAAAGTGCTTCGATTTTTGAATTCAGTACCTCGTTTGATCAGAAAGTGAATCTAGTTGGTACGTTGAGGGGGTCAAAAGTAAAAAATTCTTAATATTTTTTTAAATAATCGGGATAAACAAACTAAAAATTAAGGAAAAACGTGAAATTTTACGCACAATCAGTTTTCGACAAAATCGATTTTAGTTTTTGATGTAACTTTAAAAAAAATAACCATAGATACATGCAATTTTTACCGAATATTTATGTAAGTATAATCTATCCACCATGCAATTTTCAAAAAATTTCGACTTAATTTTAACTATTCATAGATATTTGCAATTTTCAATCATTATTAATTTTTTTTAAATAAATATCGATAAAAATTTATTTGTTGGGTAGAAATGCTTGAAAATTTAATTCAATACTCATAACATACTGTTACAATAGCAGTTGAAAAATAAAATAAATTCATAGTCACAATTTTTTTTTACAACCATTCAAATCTTAATTTTGACAACATACGTAAAAATCACAAAAATTCGCAAATTATTTTAAGCTAGAAATTCATAAAAAATGTTTATTTTAAATCTAAGATTTGAAAACTTTTAATTATCGATAATATATCCTAGACAGATAAACCGTCTTCGCTCAGAATCGTTTTTTGTATACAATGATATGATATCGTTGGATTCAAATTTAATTCCATCCATTACAGTAACCCACTTGTAACCTACAGTACAGCAGAGCGACATCCACTTTCCCGCTTTTTAACAATTAAAATTTAATTTTTAAACACTTATTAGTCAATTCACTAAACTTTCTTTTTATAAAAATTAATATAGTTAATGTTTATAAATAATAATCCTTGGCCCCTTTCATTATTCATAGATTTGAATTCATCTATCACTTCTTTATTTTGATTGTTTACTAATTTTTCTTGTTAAACAAACAATAATAAAAGGATTCTAGTCTTTCTTGCACATCGAAGATTTGATTTTACAATAGATAATTTAAGAATACCCTCACAAAGCTACAGCTCGTGACAGGTATAGTAGCAAACTGTATTAAAGCCTTTTTAAAATTATGAAAAACATTTTGTTTTTGATTTTCTTTTAAAAAGTTTAGTCAATCATATACTGATTTTGATGATGAGCCATTTGAAACATTTGGAATGTTTTTTAAAATCTTTATTTCAGCAACAATTCCTTCATGAGTGATTAGGATATATTATCTTTTGTAGTACTTCATAGATATTGGTTTGATGTACTTCTAAACTTAACATATTGTCTACAGAGTACAAACTTTATCATATCAAGACTTTCCTGAGTAAACCTTGAACGTAGTCCATTTATCAATACATCTTAGGTTTGGTAATAACCTTATTTTTGGTTCTTCCGACTTTGAGTCAAATATGTGTTGGTTTTWTATAGAGTCTAATTTTATGGATAGTTTTCTATTTCTGACTTCTGAAATTTCTATATCATGTTCCTTACATATTTTCAGGCATTCATAAAACATTTTAACATATTGTTCACTATTCCTAATTGAAATCGGTGATTTTTTCAATGAGATGATCAGTTGAACAGCAGTTAACATTTTAATGAGTTCAAATTCGAAGATGGTAACAACTTGCTTTACCTTATACCTATTACCTATTACCTTTTGCACCACGGACTAAGATATATTTTATTCCTTGAGTATAATCAACAATCGTATCATTAACATGCAGAAAAACAAAAAAACAGAATTGAACAGAAAGAGCAGATGAAACCTATAGTTTCATGTGCTGCACCCGTGCGTACGCCTATRATTWTTTAATATGACTCACCGCATTCATTGTTTCCAATAGCTACGTGAATATATCCATCATTGCCAAAATTAGTTCCCCAAGAATTTTTCAAAATATAATATGGATTTTCTCCAAGTTTGTACCCAACTATTTCTGCTGCATGATTTAACGAGGCCATACTATTATCACATTGGCTGAGTACACCACCCACATAATATTGCCACGGCAATGCATTAAGAGCTACAGAAACTGGACTTTTTGATATGTAGGATAACAATAAATCTTCACGACCCATCAAGCTAAATCGATACCATATGGCACAATTATACGTATTTAATTGAGTAAAATTAATTTTATATATAATTAAATGGCTTACTTAAGTGTTAAAAACGATTTTACTTTTACTCCCTTATCAAAAGTTCTGTAATAGACAATGTTTCATTATATTTTTTAAAACTATTGTCATTGATTTAATTTTAATAACTCACTTATCAAGTGTACATATTTGATCTTTGTATATAGTTGGATAATTTTCTTCTTTATACACAGTAATGTTATTTTCCAYCAACCATAGAAGTAAATATACAATACTTCCACCATTACATCCTTGGTTTATTCCTCCAGAACAATCTAACATCTTATATAATACAAAAGGTTTAGTTACAATTTTTACAAAACAATTAAAACACAATAACAAATACTTATATAGCTATATTATAAATAAATGGTAATGTTGTATAATTTCGCTACAGAAATAAAATTAATAATTCTGAATTTATAGATTTTTGGAAACGAAAATGTTACTCAATAATATATTTAATGCTCTAAATATGTTCGAAAGGTGCATGTAAATATGCAGTTAAAATTACTATATAATTCCTTAAGATATAGGTATGTAGCCGATTTTATTGGAGAAAAACAAGAAAAACAACATTTAAATAAACCTACATAATATAATTGTACATATACATGAAAATATGCTACACTAATATGGATATCAATAGTTATCTGCAGAGGGTCAGAAATACTTAAATTTGTCGAGTATACCAAAATGCACGAAAATATATAAAATTAGAAGCTTGATTATAGCTAATAATAATTTAAGAACAATATTTAATTCTTGTGTAAGTATGATAATCTAAAACCAAAATAAATAATTTGACCAATACTAAAAATAGCCATTTTAAATTACCCACTTCTTGTACACTTAATGTTTGTAACAATCCTGTTTTAATGGCATAGACAGATTCAATCAATTCTACCACACTTATTGCCCAACATGCTCCACAATTTTTTTGATTTCGAACTGAAGTCACTACTCCTTTATCCCTCCTTTAAACAAATTAAGTTGCATCAATAATGTTATTTTTCTAATTACTTTTTTATCTATCAACATTCTTAAAACTATTTAAATACAATGTATATAACATTATTAAATTTCCATTATTTCAAGACCATTATAATTTTTTGTATCACATATTTAAATTAGATATAATAATTAATCGAGAGAGTTGTGTGTGCGTAGGGGGGACGTATCTATTTTTATTTTATTTGTGCCTGTGTACACGATAAGTATTCGAAATAATACTTAGGTTTTCAATGCGGGTACATTTTTTAGTGTGTTCGATAAAATCAATTTTGTTTTTAGTGTTACTCAAAAACGAATAATTCTAAAAAAAAAAAAGTAGTTTACTTGAAGTTTTAGGCGAATTTTCATATCAGTATTTTCAATACACTATACAATTTTAAAAATATTTTGATTCTTTTCGATCCATTTATGGACACAAGAAATGTTTGATTTTAATTAGTCTTTTTCAAATTATTAGCTATAAGAAAATTTTTTCTCAGTCAAAAAACTTGGAAGTTAATAAGGATTTCATCTACATAAAGAGCAAGCATCTCATGAGGATTATCTAAAAGCGTCTTTCGAACCAATACCATCATAGCTTTCGCCTACTTAGTCGCAAAGTATTGTAGATACCTCAGTGAGGAAAGGTAATATTCACAACCAGATACTTGATATTCAAATCAAAAAAGCCATGCACACATTATCAGGCACGGCATTGAGTACAAATATTCTATTGCTACGCTATCTGTCCAATTTGTCAGCATGCAAACAGTCATGCAGCCGATGCAACACTTAATATTAGACTATCAACCAAAGAGATACGATGGTAATTTGGAGAATTTCATTTAAGTGACCCCTGATGCGTTGCCACACATAAGATTGGCCTCTCTGGATGTTGAAATTTAATAAGAAAACGTGATATTTACTGTGATATTGTGCTTAAACTTGTAAATTACCATTCATGTCAATTGTAATAATTAATTTAATATGTTACATTGTTATGACAGTTAGTACCTATTATTGCCTATTGGTAGGGAAATTTAATTTAATTGATAATACTATACTTCATTGCAACGTCATAATATAAATAAATAATTATTATTTAATGTTAAGTTACAGTTTGAAAAAATGTATTATTTGTTTAAAAGAGTTGTTTGCTGTTTGTATGGAGTATTAGTTTGAATTCGCTAGAGACCAGATACGTGAGAGTACGGTCCGTACTGTACGGAGACTATGAGACTATGAGAGTGTACTAATATTATTAGATATTATAATAATAATTATAGTTATCTAGGACTCTAGGTAATGTAGGAGCACTTAAGAACAAATAAAATAGCGTTAACTCTAAATATCAAATTCAATAATCATATTGTAAGAATAAATACGGGAAAACGTGAAAAAGACTATTGTGTATCTGGATGGACACCACTATATGTATAGGTTCTAAAATCATACGCTAAAAAATTATCTTTAAATTATGTTTTCCAAATTTAACTTAGTCATTATTAAAAAAAAAAATAACCATCATATATTTAATGCATTTAATAGATATTAGTAATTTCCATATTATTTTTAATTTTATTTTTTTTTATATATATATATATTTAAGTAATTTACAATCTTTACGACTATGTACAATGGGCAAATTTGATAATTAATATAATATGAAATAGCAGAATTTATCATTTAGGGGCAGGCACTCAGCAGCACCACCCGACCGAGAACATTTTAGATGTCGTGGGTTTTTATTTTTATTTTTTATTTTAGCAGGTCTCTAGGCCACTGCCTTTTTAGTCTTCTGCGTACATTGCCAGGAAGTTAGGTGGAAGAAAGTTGCTTTATTAATGGATTACTGTGAGAGTTTAAGTTGGAGTGAAATTTAGAGTAATGTGCTTTTGCTAATTGATTAAGTGTARGAATTTTTAGGTCTTTGTGAAGATTTTTGTTTGTGAAATACCAAGGAGAAGACGTTATTAATCGTAGGCAGACAGATTGAAAAGCTTGAAGAGTGTTGGTGTTAGAGGGCTTTGCAGAGCCCCATAACTGGATACCATATGTCCAAGCTGGTCGAATTATTGATTTGTATACTGTAAGTTTATTGGAAAGGGAATGTTTGGATTTTAAGAGTGGTCTAAGGATATGAAGTCTAGAGTTATTTTTAATTTATAAAAATGTTATAAGTAATTATATTTTCTAGTTACCAGTCAATGCTAGATAAGGTTGCTGTAGTAATAGATCGTTTTGATCTCACCATACTAAAAGTTCCTGTACGTGGTRTCCTTAAAGTGATTGAATTAAGGTATAATTTAGTGAATTCTTCTGTTGACAAATCTGAGAATTCTGTGATCCCATAATTGGTACAGCCATTACATTTTTTACTCAAAAGTTGAATAGTTTTTAACGAATTCTGTAAAAATGATTGTAAATGAATAGATTATAAAATAAGTGTATTATATAAAATTATAAAATAATAATGGAATCTTTATTATCAGATATGTTATTTAAAATAATGGCATCATTATACATAGGTAGGTAGTTGTATAATAATAAACCCTATCATACTTAAAAATTTTAATGAATAAACAAAGTTAAGGTTAACTAATATAGTGATACTTATTGCATGGGCATTGAACCTGCTTTTTGTGATAAAATTATCATATTATGTTATTTTAAATAGTTTAAATAAATAATTTACATACAGGGTGTCMCGTGAGGATTTACCCATTGCAATATCTCCCGTAATAATGGTGAAATCGAAATTCTAGTTTTGAAATAAGACTCACAGAGATCAGAACTACAATTATTTCATATTTTAATTGATTTTAACGTTTTGGTAAAAAAATTACAAAATATATTATTTTTTTATTTAATTATTTCCAAAAAAATTAAAGATAGCCATTTTGTAGAGTTTATTTTTCTGAAGATATTGACGTTTTAAAATTTTATTTTCATTAGTTTCCTGATTTTTAATACTTCTTTTAGTTTCGATNCAATATCTCCCGTAATAATGGTGAAATCGAAATTCTAGTTTTGAAATAAGACTCACAGAGATCAGAACTACAATTATTTCATATTTTAATTGATTTTAACGTTTTGGTAAAAAAATTACAAAATATATTATTTTTTTATTTAATTATTTCCAAAAAAATTAAAGATAGCCATTTTGTAGAGTTTATTTTTCTGAAGATATTGACGTTTTAAAATTTTATTTTCATTAGTTTCCTGATTTTTAATACTTCTTTTAGTTTCGATAAAAATTGCGAATTATTTAACACCGTAATGTTATGAAACATGTGACACGCCGCGCCGCGCGCATTCCCATACGACCGTCCGATACCTTCCGTGTTCCTAATAGTTATAATATTTTTGGAAATAATTAAATAAAAAATTTATTTTTTAAATTTTTTACAAAAACATTAAAATAAATTAAAAAATGAAATAATTGTAGTTCGTATCCCCTCTGAATCTTATTATAAAACCAGAATTTTAATATTTCCATTATTTCGTGAGATATCGCAATGGGTAAATCCTCGCGGGACACTGTATATTATTCTAGTCTGTATAAAAATATATTCTTTAAATTATTAAAATTTAATGAACAAATCATAGGCCACAAAATCATGTTTATAGAGATTATATTAACTGTGATTATTTATACAACACAATAGCTAGTATGTATAGCTATTAGTTAGGCATTAAAAATGTTCCACTTTTTAGAAGTAACACTCGTCACAAAATGTACCAACATACTGCCTCACCTTAAAGTGTTTGAACCTCATATTATGTTCTGTTCCGTTCATGTAACTCTTATTGTACATTTTAATGAATTTATTGAATTTATCTTTGTCTCGGTTTAGCTGTGTGAATGACATAATAAAAAACAAAATGAATACTACACAACTGACAACAAGCKATGCTTTTAATATGTTTGCAACGACCATTATTTTTAATTTATTTCCACTGTATAATAGGAGAGTGCTATATTAACTTGAACACTTATGATTTATGCCATCGAAATCAATATGAACAACGAAAAGAGAAACGGAAGATATGTAGAAATATATATAGTAGATATATGGCTTCGTTACATAAATAGTTATAAAAGACATCCGATAGGTAACTTGTATATTTGAACGCAATCATGTCGTCATCYATACAATTAATTAAATTTTAACGTAAAGAATAAAGTATAATGTTATATGATTGTATAATGATACAAACCTGTTTTATTTTTATTTTTACTAGAAATGCTATTATTGTTATTCATGAAATCTTATATACTATAGTAAGTGCATTCGGTAGGTTAAAATTGAAAATTCTCAGTGGATTTTGAAAACATCGGGGGAAAAAAATGAAGGAATAATGCAAATTTTCACACCATTTCAATTTTTGATAACATTTTGACTTTTTTGGTGTGATTCAAAATCTAATATTTGTAAATACTTTCACCAAATATTTATACAAGCATTTTCCAGTGGTATATATTCCAATGGTGATATTTTCGAATTTCGTAATTTTTTAAAAATTATTATCGATAAAAAGAATGATTCTGATTGAATTTTAAATAAACAGGCCATAGTTATACGAAGGAATGGGTGTGTAGTTTTTCAATTAAATATGTTTAAAATATATTTTGTATTTTATGATGTAAAATTATTTTTATTTTGTTTTTAGTACTTTTTTAAAGTATTTTGTGTTTTTAAAATGCTCAAAA